GGAAGCTGAAAATTTGGGGCAACGTTTCCCACCCACGTGCGATCCCGCAAATCTAAATTCAGCCTCCCCGTACCCGCGGGTAAAACGTACGGCCCCATAAAAGTTTGGGCGGGAAAAATTATTATCACGGGAACCATGGAAGCTGGAAGGCTGAAATTTTGTGGGCATCCATTCCGTCCATGTGCTACCCAGGAAATTTAAATTCAGCTTTCCCCCGCCCGAGGGTATCACCTACGGCCCCGTGAAATTTTGGCGGGTAAACTATTATCTCCAGAATCACGAAAGGATGTTCACCCCTCAAGGTGTTAAATTACAAAGCAATGAAAATCATTAATAGACAATCGTTCGGTGGGCGGGATTGCACAAAACGCATGATCGTACCGACTAGTCTGGTGCGCGTTGCTATTTATACTATAACCATGAACTACATTGGTGCGTTTAGTGGAATTCGTAATATTTTTCTCTTTAGAAAGTATGCTTTTTGCGGAAAACCCGTTATGAAGTGCTTAATTTGGTCAGGGGATGAAAGGAGCGCCAGCAAGCTGACCCTCATCAGACGATGCAATACTGGTCGAAGCAACAACTGCAGCGAACAAAGCAATGAACTGAGGAGCTGAAAGTAAGTAAATATGTGAAAAGCGTCAAACAGTTTTATTTTTGCTTTAAGTCTTACTAAGGCTACACGAAAACATCAGATCACAGGTAACATGCCCTAACCTGTACCTGGTAGCGGGTCGCATTTACACATTGTAGATAGGCTAGTTACCTGTAATGTGATTTTTTCGTGTGTTGAGAGCTGGAACGGAAATCCAGCATCGGCACTGGAATTATACGTACGAATAGCAGATATATCTCTCTCATATATGTATTGAGAACAGACTTAGAATGTTCAGGATGGGCATGGTGACTTTTGGTGTAACCGGTTGTAACGAGTAACGGAGAATAAGGGTTCGACTCCGGAGAGGGAGCCTACCACATCCGAGGAAGGCAGCAGGCACGCAAATTACCCACTCTCAGCATGAGAAGGTAGTGACGAAAAATAACAAGACCGTTCTGTTTGAGGCTGGTTATCGAAATGGGTACAGTTTAAACCCGTTAACGAGGGGATCTATGAGAGGGCAAGCCTGGTGCTAGCAGCCGCGGTAATCCCAGCTCTTACGGCAAGTGGCGTCAACTTTTGGCGTAACTTCTCTCAACGCTAAGCGGACTTCCCCCAACGCCTAATCCAATGTGTATTAGTTTACAAACCCCCCCACCAATTCCCCTCTTTACCTAGCCCCGTCTCTCCCTCATTCTCCTCTCCCTCATGCTTGTCGTTTACCTCCATCTTTCGCTGTCTGTAAAGAAAACACAGATCATTTCATACACTGTTATATAAAAAATTTATGTAGTGAAGCTAAGTGATAGCAGCCATGATAAGACATAAAAACAGTAGCAGATTTAAGAATGGCATTATGTCAATGAAAAACGTCAGAAATCACAGTGTTAATGCAGCTGAAAATGACAAAAACACGCGAATTTTTGCAATATGAATGCAACAAATATTTGTTAAGTGCATCAATCTAGTTTGGTACTCGTTTTTTCATGGAAAGCGTTTAAAAAATTTTAAAAATACAAACAAGGAATATCCCTGGCTAGGAGAATGGAAAGGGGCCTGAAATCTTCTATGTTTTAACATATGCAGTTTGTTTGGCGCCGCTGGCCCACCGTGGAGAGGAACATAATCGAATTTTGACAATTAATGAAAAACTGGAAGTGCCATTTAAATCTCCCAAATAAGCAATCTTGTATGTACAGTGACTTGGTAACCTGATTGTGTTTCATCTCTGAGCTGTAAGCACAAAATTTTATCGGAAAAAGAGAATTTGGACTAGTTCATCAATTATGAATAAAAATGACTATAAGTATAATCATCAGTAGCACAGCAGCTCGCACCGGTTAAGATAAGCAGAAAGGAAATTCATGAAAAAGAAAATGACTAGAATATGAAAGACAAAAAAATGTAGCACATATCAAGAAATACCAAGTACCAGTGAAATATTTCCGAAAAACAATCGCGGGTAATAAGTAAAAATATAAAAAACACTTGGAAATTATAAATCCGATAATTTCAAATATAGTATAAAATTTTGGGGCCTATATAAATGACAGCAGTGTAAGTACCTCTGTCCCAGTGGCACTTTAGAAATTATTTCAAAAATTCTATTCCACCCTCCCTCTTTTCATCCCTTCCCGTTTTATGAAACAGATGAAAAAGTCCATGCACTCTCTCCCCCTCCCCCTCCTCCCTCCCTTTGGATCCCCGCTACTCCTCCGTCCCTCTTCCCTCCTTATATGCGCTGCTTTTTCAATTTTGATTTTATAAAGTGACATCGAAAAATGGTACCCTCTGAAAATTTAATTTCAAAATTACTGGGAAAAAATTGCCCAAGCTGTCAGTAAGCGTATTCATTAAGATTCATTCTTTTTCAGGCTTTATTTTTCGCCCGTTACGCTGAGGACAAACTTACAGATCGACGAATGCAAAAATGCAAAATGAAGAAAGTTCACGCAAAATAACGTTTGTTTTTTTTTTTTAAATTTTTTACAGAAAAAGAAGCACTCGGAAAAAAGTAGCTGAAAAAAAGACACGATTTAAGTTCGCAAAGCTTTCAGTAATTCCATCTCTATCATATACTTTTGTAAATCACTGATAACGCGACTTCCAAACTTCTACGGAAAAAATTTTTACCGAAACAAGGTGATCTCTGAATTTCTACAAAATATCTCATCATAATCTAGAAGTGGTAGCACTCGAGATAGGGGTGGTGATGCTCAGCACACACATAAGTGACATCCCGAAACGGCCATAGCCTTGTCAAATTGCTTCTTTCGAGGGAACCTTAGAGCTAGTAATCCGCTTTTAGAGGACGAAATAGGCGTCAGGGTCGGCAATAAGCTGTTAACTAGCGATGTAGTAACGGAGGACAAAGCAACTGGGAAAAAATGCCAGCACCATAGCACGATTATAGATTACAACTAATTCAACTTTAATTCAAAATATAAAAGCATAAAAATTTGCAACTTCGACATACTGTGCTATTGTGAAGTAGCGGATCAGTCGACGCCGGAAAAAATTTCGGAATTCTCAATTGCTTTTGTTAGTCGTTCTTTCATTATATGGAAACTCGTATAGGGCGGTAAATCGATGCGATTGAAGCTGAAATTTCAAAAAAAAAAAAAAAATAAAAACCCTGTCTTGATTTCTACTCAAGTAAATTTATAGCGACTATAACAGGATTATTT